GGGAAGAAGAAAGAGATTGAACATGGCGGCGAAAACGGTGTGCGTGACAGGAGCATCAGGATTCATAGCTTCATGGATCGTCAAGATCTTGCTTCAGCGTGGTTATATTGTTAAAGCCACTATTCGTGACCCCAGTTAGTCCGCTCTCCCTTCTTTGATTCGACTCTTCATCTAGCTTTGTTGAACGATATCGTTTGTTATTTTAATTTTTTCTTGGGTGTTTTGGTAAAGTGAAGTATTTTTCGGTAAAATTAAGAGATGTCAGTCCTCTCTTTCCGATTTTAACTCTTGATGACTTGATCTAGTTTCATTGATTTCACGATATGGGTTATCCTAATTTCTTATTGGGTGTTTGATTTAAATCCCCATGTATTATTTGTATCTTTTCATGATACGGTTTATTTTTTTAATAATATTAAGCTTTTATATTTAACTTTTACGGGAATAAAAAACATCACCACTTTAGTAACTTTCATGAATTTTTATTTTGCATTTAAAATTTAGCCATTAACTAAATCGAAACTCACTCGTATGGAAAATTGAAAATAAATCGACCTATGTTTTGATAATTATTTTAACGAGTTCTCGGTTACTTTCTTTTTAAGTTTGATTCTAAATGAGATATTTTATTTTCCTATAATATTTTGGTGAAGAAATCTGTGGAATAATTTCTCGGAAAATTATGTTCAGATCCTTTTTATGGATAGCATGTAGCAAAATTCAGAGCTTTTAAATACAAGATGTGGATAATAACATTGAAGAAAGAATGGACTCGTATATGTAAAGTCTTGAGTAAACAAAGTGCTTATTGCAGGGAAAGTCTATTCATTCAACCAAAAATTGAGGCACAAAACATTAACATAGTAGGCATTATTGCTTGTGAAGGAACAATAAGATTAGCTTCGCATACGGGAAAATGATCTAAAACTTATAGTCCAGCTTTTATCGGTAATTTTGGTTGATCATTCATTGAGGATAAACTTGTCATTGCAAGTAACTTCATGAAAGATATATTGTAAAATTAGATTTCTATGCTTTGTACTTCAATAAAAATATTGATGCATTTGTTGAATATTAATATATGGAATATGTGAATTTGCCTGCAGATGATCCAAAGAAGACAGAGCACTTGCTTGCACTTGATGGAGCCAAAGAGAGACTTCACTTGTTGAAAGCAAACCTACTGGAACAAGGATCCTTTGATACTGTGGTCGATGGCTGTGAAGGTGTTTTTCATACTGCATCGCCTTTCTTCCTCGTAGCTGCAGATCCACAGGTTCTTGCCTCATTCCCTTTTTATTCTTTTGGTTGTAGATTTTCTTTATGCCAATTTTAGGAGCAGAATCCTTTCAGTTTTCCATGAGGGGAATTGTGCTGTGCTCATAATCACAACAATGGAGGTGGAATTCCAAATAATATAATGTCAAGTTATTTTGTTACAGAATGAAGTAAATGTCATCCTTAAGAGATTTCCCCATTCTTCCATTCTACCTAAGAATGATAATATCGGAAACTGACAGTAGAAGTGCAGAACGGTTCAAAATGTTGCACATGTCGGAAGAACAAGTTCTTTCTTTGAACTGCCCAAAAGCTTCTTCCATAGGACCATATCTATCTATCTAACAAATTTTATTAGTTTGAACAAGGTTTTTAAGTTAAAAGATCCCAAACTGACCATAGAATTGCAGAACGGCTCGGAATGTTGCTTATATCAAAAGAACAAGTTCCTTTTCTTTGACTTTCCCAAAAAGCTTCTTCAACTTAGCATGGATTATGTAGAAGTCCGATTTGATAGTTTGATATTATTTGTATCGGTGATCTGGTTATTTATAAATAATAATTTTGAAAGCTTGTAACTAGAAAAAAAATCCTAAATTAAATGGAAGGAGAGATAACAAAACAAAGATGTGATTTTCAATATTCTGAAATGTTGATGTAGTTTGTAATAAGGGTTAAATCAACTCAGTATTGAACCTTTTAAAGTCTTTATAAGAAAGGTGTGTGCAATGAAAAATCCAAGCATGGCTTGGGAAGGGTGTTCTAGATGCTTAACAACGAAGCTTGATTTTGGAAAAACACCATTGCTTGTGGTAGAAAAATTACGCTAATCCATTGAAATATGGTATGTTACAACTAAATACTTGCAACAAGAAATGACTCCTTATTTTAGGATGACTAACCCATGTATTGGTTCGAATGTGTACTTTAGAATACAATCTAAGTAATAAATGCCCAAGTCTTCTTTGGGTCCCAACTCCAATATGATCCCCATGCTTCGTCAGCCCATAATGCATCAAATGGCATCCCTTTGGTTAAAATTGATAAATCTTAGACTAATAATCCGATAACT